TGGAGGCCAAGGAAGAGGACCGCCAGGTGCTGGACACTGTCCTGGCCCTGGTGGTTGCTTTCGTGCTGCCCACTGCTCTGCCCCTGACCATAGCCCTGTCTGCCCCCTCACAAGCACCCACCACCTAGCAGCAGGCCCCCATGTGGGCTTGGATGGAGGTCCAGCACTGCCTCCACCAGACCCTCCACCTGGACCCAGTCCCTCCACTCACCCTGGCTCCATGTGGGCATGGTGCCAGAGCTGCCTGCAGTGGGGTCAGGACCATGTGCTGTCCCTGTCTACTAGCTGCCCTTCACAGGGCCTGCCCACCGGCAGGGGGAAACAGCCAGAGGCAAGGGTGCTGGCCACCTGTCCCTGGGCTCCATCCCTATGCGCCCCCACCCCATGGCTGCCCACCCCAAGAGGAAACACACACGGGCCATGATGTATACAGTTTGCACAGGGAAGAGTGTGTTATATTGTTGGTGGGTGGGGTGGGTGGTAGAGGGGCCCTGTTGTTGGGGAGGGAGGGGGGATGGCTCTGGTGTTGGGGAAGGAGGGGAGGAAGAGGGTCTGTTTGTTGGGACGGCAATAAAGTGTTTTCCTGAGAGCTGACTCTGGTGAACATAGAGCTGGGGGTGGGTGGTAGGACAGGGGTCCATGGGCAGCTGTCCAGGCAGGCTACAGCAGGGAGTGCAGGAGGAGGTGATCAGCCAGTGCCTCTCGCACCTGGTGCCCTGGCCCCCGCTGGCAGGTGTGTGGCTCGCCCAAGGCCTTGGCGGTGGGGGCCCACTGGGGCCAGCAGAAAACTAGGGTGCTGGTTGTCACTGCCAGGGGCAGGGGCTGGAGCAGCCATAGCACAGGGAGGCAGAGGCTGCAACGAGAGAGCTGCAGTGTGCTAGTCCCGGCCTCTGCATGCTGCTCCTGGCCAGATGGCTGCTGGCAGGTGTGGCCGGAGCCTCGAGCTCCCTCTGGTGGTGACAGGGGCCCACTGCAGTGCCACAGGAAGCAGAATCAGTTTGCTACTAGGAACAGCAAATCTTCTCCCACGTCCCTGCACGTAAAGACACCTCCCCAGAAGCGTTTACTCTCAAGTAGTTTACTTACGAGTAAACTGCTCCTGGATCAAATGCATATGTAGATGCACCTGCAATTGAGCAAAAGGCCTATGCTGTCCTTCTCCCCCTGCCATGAGGAATTAAGTAAGTCTCCACTGTAGTTGAAGACAAGGCTGGATCTGGACTTAATTAGGCACTGATATATGACTGAAGATCTCATTATGAAGAATGCATTGACTCTAGTATCCAGCATGTCATCAGCTCAGACTTCTGACTTGGTAAGTCAAAGGAGGTTCTGCCTAGATTCTGTGCACCCCTGTAATGCATTCTAATTTCTCACCCTAACTCCTGGGGACTGGGGTGGTGTGAGCACTAAGGCACATGGTTGACAACCCAGAGACTGCAAGTTTGAGACCATAGTAGCAGCCCTCCTCCAAAGGCTGGACAGTGTGGCCTGTCAGATTCCAATGAATCTGCAAATTCTGCTAAATACCTTGTCATGAGGACATGAAAAAAGAAGGCCCCTAACTCTTCCCTTCACTTGCAATTCATTTTACAGGCATGCACACAAGAGAGTTCTCCTCACAAATCTAGTACTAGCAGGAGTTCTCTAGGAAGGTCAACTATAGATTATAAAATGGAGATGTTCCCTGTTGAAAAGAAATCACACAGATCACACACATGGGAGCACAGAAGTGCTGCACAGGAAGATGCCATAGAGATCTCCAGTGCAAATGAATGAGCAGCATTTACTGGTTACTAAGCATTTACTGGTCACAATCCCCTAAATTCCCCACATTTACCCCTGTTGCAGGGCACTAAGATGTGCCTGCTCCTTTCAGGGCAGAAACTGCCTAGAGAGAGGGCCCCAAGGGCCAGGCAGAAACCCCACAGCTGCAGGCTAATAAGGGAATTAGCCTGCACCTGTACCTGCTCAGCTGACCGGAAGAAGGCAGGGCCCTGGGCACATATAAGCCCCTGGGGAAGGTGCTCTCATAGAGAAAGCTATTTGGACATGTTTCACTGCCTGTTCTGCTGCTGGTAGGATTAAAGAGCTATAGGAGCTCATAGTACTTGTGGGTAGGAGGCACATTATACTGAGAGAGAAGCTTGCCTTCTTAAAAAGGATAGGGTGTGGACCCCACGGTTATTGCTGTATTGTAGCCCAGGGGCTTGTGTTTTCTGTTGTTATTTATGCCAGTGGACCGGGCTGAGATTATTGGGGAGGAGGAGACCCCATTGGGGCACACTACCATGCGGAGCCCCAGTGCCAGAGGGTAAAGTGACATGGGGTGAGGAGACCCCAGTGCCAGATAGTGCAGTTACTGAGGCTATGAGTCCAGTGACAACAAGAGGCCAAACTAAACTGAGGCCTCATCACTAGAGACAATGTCTAAATACCATCTGTGAGGCATGGGGTGTGGTAAATGGGCAGCTTTGGAGCCATGCATTTATCCCATAAAGCTTGGGGTGTCATGTGAGGCACCTGCTTAGAATGGGACCCAGCAAGGGGTCTACAAACCCTCAGGGTTTAGTGGGGTCCATCAGGACTGTGACTGCATAGCAACTTGAGAGCAGCCTCCTTATCTACTATCTTAACCAACAAAGTGGGGGCAGGTGAGACTAGAAGGCACCCACAGGGCAAAGCTGGCACTGTCACAGGGCCCTAAGGGCATTACAGCTGTCTCTAGGGACACCAACCTGTGACCCCCCCCCCCCCCCCCCACCCAGAGAGTGGTGGTGGATGGGTCTTATTCGACCTGGAGGGATGTGGGCAGTGGGGTTCCCCAGGGCTCGGTCCTCAGGCCTGCACTGTTCAACATCTTCATTGGCAACTTGGATGAGGGCGTGAAAAGATGTAGGGGGAAGTGGGCACGCTAGAAGGGAGGAATAGGCTGCAATCAAACCTAAAAAGGTTACAGGGGTGGGCGGATGAGAACAGGATGGGTTTCAACACTGACAAGTGCAGGGTACTGCACCTGGGGAGGAAGAACAAGCAGCATACCTACAGGCTGGGAACTCCCTTCTCATCAATGCAGAGGCAGAAAAGGATCTTGGAGTCATTATTGATGCCAAAATGAACATGGGCCAACAGTGTGGGGACATGGTCAAGAAGGCCATCCGTACCTTGTCATGCATCCACAGATGCATCTCAAGCAAGTCCAAGGAGGTGATCCTCCCCCTCTGTGCGACACTGGTTAGGCCGCAGATGAAGTACTGTGTCCAGTTCTGGGCGCCGCACTTCAGGAGTGATGTGGACAGCATCGAGAGGGTCCAGAGAAGGACCACTCGCATGATCAGGGGGCAGCAGGGCAGGCCCTGTGAAGAGAGGCTAAGGGACCTGAACCTGTTCAGCCTCCACAAGAGAAGGCTGAGCGGGGATCTAGTGGCCTGTTACAAACTAGTCAGAGGGGACCAGGAGGCATTGGGGGAGTCCCTGTTCCCCCGAGCACTACCAGGCGTGACTAGAAAGAATGGCTTCAAGGTGGCAGAGGATAGATTCAGACTAGACATCAAGAGGTGCTACTTCACTGTCATGGCGGGCCGGGGCTCGGAACCACCTTCCTGAGAAGTGGTGCTGGCTCCTATCCTGGGGGTCTTTAAGAGGAGGTTAGACGAACACCTTGCCAGGGTCATTTGACCCCAGTACTTTTTCCTGCCATGGCAGGGGGTCGGACTTGATGATCTACTCAGGTCCCTTCCGACCCTACAAACTATGAAACATGCTCTCTCTCTCTCTCTCTCTCCACACACACACACACACACTCTCTCTCTCTCTCTCTCTCTCTCTCTCTCTCTGCCTAAAAACCAGGCAGGCATGTCTCATCTTATACATAAGGAGAAAATCAACTGCAAGTATTCCATGGACCATAAGTGAACTATTGACCACAGTCCATGGGAAACTTGTCATTTTAATTGTATATAATATTTTTTACATTTATTCAAGGAAAACAAACAATGACAGCCCTGGTATGTACTTAGCCTCAGCTGGTTTTCAGGATCTGATCCAGGAGCTATATTGCCTATGGTCTTTATGAAGGACAGAAAGCATGTTGTCTAAGAAGCCATGGTACACCAAGAGCCATACAGCCTACAATCTATATAAAGGACACAAAACATGTTGTCTGAGATGCAGTGGTACATCAAATGGTACTATAAATTACCCTGTGTGCACAGCACCTGCTGCTGCTGCTGAGAAGTTCATTAAAAAGCCTGACTGGTTAGAAAGAAAAGAAGTTTGTCCAGTATTGACCAAGACAGTCTGTGACATTTTGAAACTGAGATGCATTGGTTAGGTATATGGTTGTCTGTGTATTGGGAATTGCATTGTCAATTGCAGTTAAAGATGACATAGAGTCCCTTCCTCCTCCCAACCATCCTTTCCCCAAACAGTTCTCTTAAATTTTTGAGTAGGTGATCCAAAGCATCCACAATATTAATGAACTCTACAGTGTTGTTCTGGACACAGGATATCAGGAAAAGTCATCTCTCCCTAAAGCTTTACTTGAGAACATAGTACTACTTATAGTATCCCTACTTAAGGGAAAGAAGATCCTTTTTAAAAAGTAACTATTAAGAAGTAAATAAAAATGGAGATATAAATAATATTTGTACTGTTACAATCATTGTTGCTTACTATTACTGGTTTGCTCCTATCAGCGGGGGGTTCCCTTGGTTGCTTTCTCTTGGTATGATGTGGTTGGCTCCAGCTCTCTGGGCATGGGAACTGTAGCTAACTTTTTAAATTTTTGTGACACCATGAAACCATTAACAACCTATTAGCAGTACCTGTTGAAAAGGACTCAGCCTGAGGCCCTTAATTTTTATCCTACTTCCTGTCTAGCAGGTCTTGAGCCTGCATGGAGACACTGACTCCACAAGTAAGTTTCTATTAAACCTCTTAGGACATAAGTAATAAATGAATATAAATAGACAGTGCCATTAGCAGCAAATGGGTTTTACCTTGAGGCTTGGGTTTGGTAAGTTTCCCACAGGGCTTTGAGATTGTAACAGTCTTCTGGCATTCAGCATTGTGAAGAGCTCTCTTTAGGTTCCCAGTTCGAGTCTTCAAAGCAGTATTCAAGTCGCATTCACCCCAGGCCTGAAACTGGTACTTACACTCTGCTGCAGAGAGTGAATGAAGATACAGCATCAAAGAATGACTGAACAAGAGGAAAAAAGTGTTACCTATGTCTAGCCTCTGATAGGTATGACCAACACCTACAGCAGTTTAATCAAACAACTGAAAAAAAAAAGAGAGATCAGGAAATATTAAAGGGATGTATTTTACGGAATAATTGTGTAATGACCTAATTTACAAAGGAGGTGACCAGACAGCCAAGGGACTTCAAGCTAATTTAGAAAAGGGCTTTGAACTCCCCATAAGAGTAGTGAGAACTAGTGATGATTTATAACTAAATCTGACCAGTCCCCGGGGTTAAGTACAGACATCTGGGTCATTAGGGGGAAGGTGACTGATAGCAGGTAAATCAGGATGGGGAGGCTAGCCAGGGAGTTGGGGATCCAGCAGGCTGGACAAGATGCGAGGTCCACTGAGTGATGGGTGGGGAGGCATGACCTGCAGGTGGGGTAGGGGAAGCAGGTACGATTCACAGGTAGGGTTGGAGGGGAGATGCAACCCGTGAGGGGTGGAGGGACAGGTGCAACCCACAGGTGGGGTGGGGGAGCAGGCATGACCTGCAGGTGGGGGTGGGGAGGGCAAACCTGACCCGTGAGTGGGGTGGTGTGGGAAAGGGGGGCCCTGCAGGTGGGGAAGGGGATCAGGATATGTATATCCAGGTTTATCTTAAACTGGGTTCTGCACTTTTTGACCAGTTTGTGTGCATGTAAATTCTGTATAGTTACAGGTTTAGGCTGATTGCTGGTCACTAAGGCCAGGTCTGTAAGTGTAAGGTGGGCACCAGGACAAGCTAAGTTTAAATTGGGTGGCCATTTTGAACCCAATTTAACTTCCCCAAATGTCTGTACTTAGCCCATATGTTCATATGTCTATCTGAAATGGAACAACACATACCTCTTGAGTTTGTAAAACAAGGCCCAGAAAAACTATATGCACCAACTGTAGCACTAGACCTGAAATATCCAGAACCTCTGCACTTATGGCACTGCAGAATTCATTGTAATGCCATGGTCAAGTCACATCACATAAACTGGATAATAAAGAAGAGTTGAGTCTACAGGGACAGTCCTGGTTAACTTAGCTTATCTTCAGCCTTAGTCCAATAGCCTCTATTCATTCCCAGCTGAAGAAGCTGCAAATTTTACACCCTGCCCCAGTGAAGAAGCTGCAACATCAAATAAGCAGATTATGGATACAGGCTCTAGACTTGTTAGGCTGACATGAATGAGGCTGTCTGGTGAACTTTTTCCCACTAGATTCGCTTTGCCCTGATTATGCTGCTTTATGATATCATAAATCAGGATTGAAAGAAATTCCCCTTTATGAAATCTGCCTTCTCCTGCAGAGCACAGCTTGATGCAGCACTTCCTGCCTTTATGGTAATTAGAACTGCTCAGGAACACCCCTTCCCCCCAAAAAGAATCCATAAGATCTCCAGGTTGTAAGAGAGCCATTTATCTTTGCAAAGGAAAAGAAAGTTTCCATTCTTTTTTTTTCAATCAGCTTTCATTGTAATGAATGTGAAGCACTGCAGGTGAAAAAAAAAGCATTTGCACAGGCCCCCTGCCAAAGCTGAATTCACATGAGATGGTCCCTTCACCCTACTCAAGTTAGAAATGAAGTGAACTGCTCAGGACATGGTAAAACTTACCTCCAAACTGCTTCTTCCAATTGCAGGGGATCTTACACTTTTGGGTCTTCGTAGTCTGTTTGCATTCAGCTCCAGTACGAGTGCCCTCACGGGTCCCCAGGCCACAGTCTCCACTGGTGGGCACACATGCGCTCCACTGCCACTCTCCACAGTCAGACTTCTTAGCTTTCCTCTCTGGATGGAGCCAAAGAAACAAACCAAAATAGGTAGAGTGATCAGTGCCCAACCAAAATTTAAAAAGAACCTTTCTGTGTGTAGCAGCACAAAACAGACATAACTGTTAAATCAGACTTGCAATATAATGGCCTTAAAGAGATTCAACATGAAGCTCTCTTCACAAAGCTCTGAAGAGTCTTGGGGGATGAACCTTCTATGAGGCTGACATAGCTCTGACCACAAATCAAGGGAGAACACCCAGACCTAGACAACCAGCAGGTGTGATACTATGAAGGACATGTCTAAACTGCCTCTGTACCACTGAGAAGCACACCCCAATCACTCATTCCCAGTCAGCACATGCCAAACCCTAGAAATGAAGCAACATAATCACATTAAAGCAGTCCAGAACATGTACCAAAAACGCATACCTGATACAGAGCATGGCACCAAGGCACATGCTCAGGTCTGCTCCAAGCTGGACACTGCCTTAGTTTTAGGATCTGGCACACGGGCAAAAGAATGGAATAGAAGAGGTGTGTCTTTAGGCAGTATTCCTGGACCTGGCACAGAGGCACAACCCTTTGTCAATCTGAAGCTGCCTTTTTCTTCAAAAAAGAGAACAGTCTAGGAGCCATCTGGGACTGGGGGATGTACTTTGTGCCTAAGTACACCCACAAAGGATGGCCTTCTGTTCCTTGTTGGCAACTGATGGAGTATCAGCATTTTTATTAGACATTATATACCACATGGTCAGAAGCTTGTGCTTTAATGGGATTTTTCAAAAGGAATTTGAGTGACTCAGGGGGATTGGTAGTGGGATACAACCATTATACCTCATGTCTGAAGACACCCTGTCCCCAAACTTTGGAGGCAAAAAAACCCAACGAGGTAGCCATGGAAAGTCATTCATATCCTGAATTTAAATCTGAGTTTGGTCACTCACTGATGACTGCCCTGCTTCTAAAATGCTCTGAACCCAATCCAAACATCTCTAAAAACACTGGTTTTCTATAGTGTACACAGAAACACACAAAGAAGCTGAACTTCATTTCAAGTCATGTGATTCAGATAAGGGAAATTAGCACTACTGACCATCTCACGGCATTCAAATAAAAATCATGAAGCAGGCTCCTGAAATATCATGAACTGTTTTAAGTACTATATACAGGGCATGTCTATACTGACTGCGCAACAGCCTGATACTACTGTGCAGTAGCATCACGTGGCAAGAACCATGCTGCGACGCTACTGCACAGCAGTATTAGGCTACTGTGCAGTAGGATCACTTACTGTGCTACTGCACAATAACTCTAATTACTGTGCATTTATTTAGTATTTGCTTATAAAAATATTAAATAAATGTGCAGGCACAAGGGATTTAATAAAAATTCCAAATATTGTGAAACTCATGATAAAAATCAGAGGAGTTATCAACACTGAGCTTGACATCCATGTCTAAGTTTTCCAGTTCAGGGCTGCTTCAATTTAAAGTAATGTCTGGATTCGTCACTACTAGCTGCCTGTTTGTAGGCGGGCTATATGAATTAAAGACTTAGTCCAATATCTTATGGAATTCCACAACACATAAAAGAGATCTTTGTTGGTAGCACTTCAAAGAGGGAAGGTGACTGACTAATAGGCCTGTGTGAAGCAGCTATTATTTGCTTCAGATTCGGCCAATTCGGGGGACAGTGATTTGATTTTGGTGATTCAAATCACTGTCCTGAATCAATTCAGCTGAATCTGATTTGGAGATTTGGCCGCCGCCGAATCAGCCAAATCTCCGAATCAAACAGGTCCTATCCCCTGCCTGCTCTCCCAGCCCACTCAGCCCCAGCATCCCAGCTCTTTAAAAAAATAAAATAAAAAAGCCCCGCACTCATCGGCCGCTGCCAGGCCAAGGGTGCGATCCCCACTGCATCCCACTGCCCTGTGCTGTGTAGGGGGGCTCTGCCACAAGCCCCCAGAAGCCCTGAAGGCCACTGCAGCAGCTGGTGATTGCGGGGGGGGGGGGTTTTGTTTTTTTTAAGCACTGGGATGCTGGGGCTGGGAGAGCAGGCGGGAGTCAGGGGGCACTCAGGGGGGCTGGAGAAGCAGGCAGGGGATGGGGCCTGGTGGGGGTCCCCCCATGGTCCTCCCCCTCCTCCTCCAGCCCCCCACTTACTGGCATGGAGCTTGGGTCCAGCTCCCTGCAGCAGCGAGCAGGACCTACCCGAATCGCCGAATCTTTCTCCAAATCTTTTCTGAATCAATTAGGAGGCTTCAAATCGATACATACCTTTATATTGGTCTCCCAATTCAATTCGGATTCAGAGATTTGGCCACCGAATTGAGCCGAATCTCCTCCAAAATGAATCACCACCTGAAGCTTCACACAGCCCTAGTGACTAAGTCCCCTTCTCCCATTAGAAGGAATGAGGGGTGCAAGTCAAGTAAGTTCATTGCCAAGGTTCTTTGAGGAAAGCTGCATTCTTCTTGCCATGCTGTACCCGTTTTGTGATAAACAGTGAACTCAGGCTCCAGGGCAGTCAAGCTGGCAGCTTTCACAGAAACTAATTTCTGTATATCTACTTTATATAAACTAACATGTCAGTGCAATAAATCCCCATTTTCCACGTCAAAAAATTAATGACTGCTCTTAATTTCATAACGAATTGAAAAGGTCTTGATATTATATACTAGGAAATAGTATGTTGTACACAGCTTTCAAAGTACCTTCATTCTAAAGCAGGGGTGGGAAAAATACGGCCCAGGGGCAGAGTGTGCATGTGCAGGCATGGGGCAGTGTGTGTGTGTGTGTGTGTGTAGGCAGGGGCAGTGTGTGTGGGTGTGTTCATAGGGTGAGTCCCACATGCACACCCCACCATACCGCAGTATTCCAGCTGCAATCCTAGCACCCACATCCCTCTGACACTGCCATACAAACAGACCCCCACACTCACACCCCCTCTAACACCCTATTCACACTCCCCCCACACACAGCCCCTCAAGCCCCATACCCACCCTCCCCACATATCCACACACCCACAGCCCCCCACAAACCTATACCCACCCCCCACAATATACAAGAGCAAGACTTAATTTTAAGCTATTTTGCAATCACCTCTGTGTACACTACACAAACACATGTAAATCAGGATAAAAATATTTTCTGAAATCAAATTAATGAGTGCTGTATTTGCTTATTAGAATATAATTTGGTATTTTTCTGGTTCCAAGATGGCAAAACCCCTTGCTGAAAGGAGTACTTCTGGGGGAAGAGGAGGGACTTCTGGTGGCAAAGGTTAGGGGTTGGGGGTGGGACTTCTGGTCATAAGATGGCAACCAGGGGGCAAGGCACCTGTCAAGGGGCAGGGCTACCCATGTGGCCCTTGACAGTTTGCCGAAACTCAGTAAGCGGCCCTCCGCCCAAAATAATTGCCCACCCCTGTTCTAAAGCCATTGGGTGTTTATAGACATGCTCCAGGCAGTTGGTTGTGGGGGAGGTGCTTTAATTAGCAAACCGCGCTAATTAAAAGTGCTCAAGTGTCACGTGTATCAGCATCCTCACGCTGAAAAATGGTGGCAGACTGCTTTGAACTAAAGCTCATTGAAGGAGCTTTAGTTTAAAGCACCCCGTCACCATTTTTCAGCACGGGGACACTGATCCATGTGATGCTGGAGGCTGATGGAGCATGTTAATTTCTGCGCCACAGTAGATTAATCGAGTCTGCTCCAATGTGTTGGATTTACAGCATGTTAGAGCAGCCTCACTGCTCGTCTATAGGAGCCCACTATGTTTGGCTTTCCTATCCTGGGAGCCACACACCACTTGCACACTGTATCTGACTGGCAACATCCCAATGATTCCAGTCCTACTTCAAGGTCCAGACCACTTACAGTTCTGTTCTTTCTCCTCAGTCTTTTCCTGCAGTAATGCCTGCTGTTAATTTTAGCCCTTGGCCCTTACATAGTTGTGCATCTGCAATACTACTATTGCTCCAGTGTGTGCCTCCTTCTCATAGAGCACTAATGCATCTCACTATCTCACATTCAACCTGAATACCTGATTTCCAAATCCTGTATTTTCACATATGCACCTGAAATACACCTTAAGTCTTGATCCTCAGAATTCCTTGCCATGCTTTTCTTAGCCACCCATATGCTTCTACCAGTGTAATTGTGATGTCTATTACTCCCTTGTATTAATGCCTTATGACTCCTTCTTAAGCACAAGCTGTCAGTTGTGTCAGTGTACAGGTTTGCACACTGGATGTCCTCAGGGGCTGAATGGTGCAAGTTTTGAAGCAGGGAAAATGTCAAGATAAAGCGGGTGGCATATTAAAAAATCATTTCCAAGTGAGTGCTGAATCCATTTTAGATTCTCCTTCTCTATCTTTATATGTAAGAAATTAATAACGCAGGAAATTGTCCTAGTAATAACCAGTACAAATATTTTTATGCCCGTCACTGTCATAGATGTACCTCTCACATGGGTTTTGCGTCAGCGCTCAGCCTGAGTTGGACTTACAAGGCCCAGAGGAATGTCACATCGGTCCAGTGAACAGAAAAAGCAGCTGGTGTTCATGGTGACTCCCTCTTCATTTCATGCATTACTTTTCTTCCAATTAATTGAGGGCAGCAGGGAGGAAACCCAACCATCCCACAGGTAAATTACAGTGCAGAATGCTGATGAATACAATATCAAACACACCTAAGGCCAGATCTACAGAGGTATTTAAATACTAAGCGCCTTCTGGGGTACTTAAACACCCACTGATAGTAAAAGAGACTCATACACCTAAAGATTTCAGACCTTACCTGGTTTCTCTTTTTTGCCAGCCTCAGTAGTACTCACGGCTACTAAAACAAAAATGAATGCCAAGAGGGCAGCTGTGACCATTCGACGTTGTTGTTGTTGTTGCTGCATTCTGGGAAATAGAGAAAAAAAAGTATGATCAGGCTTTCAGGGTCAGACTGCCTGGGAAAGGAACCCTAATTAAACAAAGTAAAAGCACATAGCACGATCTAATGGGATTGTTATGGAAATGCGGTGAGATCAGACAATAGGAACAAAAACAGAGAGCACATAAGATTTGCCTTGGCAGAGCAATTATAGAAGATCCAGGTTTAAAAACTTCTTTCCCAGTGAAGTAACTCATTGATCATTTTCATCCTAATCCACAGCAATCCTGATGCTGCACTTTTGTTCTGCCATAGATAGGATAGTTATTGTACCATTACTGCGCACTTGGCAGAAACTTGGGAGAGACTGCAGTCTACTGATTAAAGTATGGCACTGGAAGTCAAAATGCCTGCCTTCTATTTTCAGATCCGTCTGTGACTCATCATGCAAGACTGAGCAAATCACATACCATGTCTCGGTTTACTCATTGGTAGGAAGTGGGCAATGTTACTTATCTATATAACCAGGATTAAAGCTGGTGTTAAGTTTAATAGATATTTGCAAAGTGCTCCTTTAGAAACATGTTATATAGGCAAAAAATAAAATCAACTGAGTCATCACTGACCTTACATCATTAGAGTGCCCTCTTCAGACACTTTCCCTTCCTCTCAAATGAATTTCCCTTCCTCTTAAATGTGCTAAGATTCTTGGTGAACATACAACATTTTAAACACGTTAGAACAATCAGAAAAGATCTACACCCTCGGGTAGTGACTATCACTAGGCATGCTCAGTGATGTATCTAACTGATGAACCCAAGATCTGAGCATAGGCCCCAAAATTCAAATACATGAGAAGTAAAAACACATTTGCTCAGAGATTAAATGACAGTTGCTGGCCTGGAAAATGAAGCACCGTAAAGCACCTAGACCCTGTTTGTAGGTCTGATCTTTCAAATACAAAGCTTCCATGAAACTTTCCTGGGCAAGAGATATTTTATCTGGCCTGCCTCTACTTTGTGCTGCTGCAATTTAGGCATTTGCTACCTGTGAATTTGAAAAGTTCCAGCCACAAAGACAGAAATAAAATGCAACTGAGTTTATAATACAAAGATGCTAAAGGAAATCTGAAATTTTATTTGGCACTTTAGAGTGTCCCCTGCTGATACCTTCTTGGGGAAAAAACTCCGTAACTGCTACTGACATGGACAACAGAAGGGAAATCCCAACATCAGAAACTATAAAACATCAAGGTTTACTACTGCCAGTGAAGCTAGATGAAACATTTGAATAGTTACCTGTTTAAATGATGTTAATTTGGAGACTATAAGTAGGGACCTATCTAAATCATTGTTTTGTGGATTTCACAGAAACTGTGAAATCTGGGATGGGGTTGCCCACAAAATCCATGAAAAATAAAATAAAAATAAGTTTTTATTAAGTCTTCTCCCTGGTGGGCCTCACGTCCCACCCAGAGGAGGAAGGCACCAGCTGGAGGGGCAGCACAAAGCAGGAAACAGACAAGGGTGGGGCCACCACAAAATGCCCACGAAATGGGCTCTTTATGCGGAGATAAAGCCAAGAAAATTACTTTGTCTCATCGCAAGTTAAGTGGGTCCCTAACTATAAGATCTGGGATTGACATGTGCTTAGTTTACCTCAATAGAAAATTCAAGTTCCTATCATCAGAAGTACCTTCAGGGTTGTCAGGGGGCCTCTGGACTCATGGGGCGCATCTCCACAAGCAGGAACATGCATTTCCTCAGGGACAAACAGCAGCAACATAACATGTGCTGCTGCTACTCGTCCCCCGGGAATGCCCATGCTTGTGTGCTCTGGCACACAGCACGCTACCCCAGGTGGGATAAGGGAGGCTGTCCACAGCAGCCTTACCTGAGGTCCTGAGGGCCTTTGGGGGCTGCAGCTGAGGCTACCTGGCAGCAGGGAGCCTGCCCAGCAGCCTAAGCATGTCTCCAGCTGGCCAGGCTCTGGTTTTGAGTGGCACGTGCTGCCACCACATGCACCACCCCACTTTTTTTAGATGCGGGTTTTTTTGACACCAGGATTTCCTGGTGTCAAAAAAAAAAATGCCGCACTGCTAAACACCTGCATGTGTGGCCTGCACAGTCGCAGACAGGTCTGCAGCACCACATACTGCACATTCCTGCTCATCTGGACATGCGCATGCAGAAAAAAACTCCTACCCAGGACAAGGGTGTTTTCTAAAATGTCTCCGTTCTGCATGTCGCACAGTTTCTAGAGGTAAAACACCTGCCTTTCTAGCCAGGTTATATTCTGATCTGGTTCATCATAACTAGACACCATCTTATACTCTATCCCCTTGCACACCATCCTACCTGACAGTCTCACCGCTGTTCATGTGGTAGCCTTCTCCTTTGTACTTCCTGTCCTCTGAAACAGGCTCCCTCTCGTGTATCACCTCACCTCAGTGAATTTTCATCCCATCTCAAAATTTCACTTCAAGGATGTTTTCAGTCTTGCGAATCAACTTATTTCCACTCTCTAATATTAACTATATCTGGCAGAAAAGGCCTAACTGCTCTAATAGGTGATCATGGGAATCATCTCAGCACTGGTGCATCCTTAAGTAGCACAGAGATGAATATGCCACTTAGGATGACCAATCAGGTACGCCTGAATCCAGTTCAGTGATCACCAGTTGCCACAATGGCTCTGCTGGGTATTAACAACTGGTGCAAGATTATACCTGGGGGGCTTAATTGGGACAAAGTAAAACCAGAATGTGGAAGCTTCGAAATGACTTAAAGCTACTTTCTGAATAGGTTTTAACTCCCCGTCAGAGTGGGACCAAGTGTTCCTCAGTTGCATCTGGAGATTGGAGCAAGTGTCTCTGAAAAATTTGGAATATAATGTGCACAAAAATGCTATAAAACAGTTCTATCATATTGAGTACTAAGCAGGTCCAAATGCAAATCTTATTTTCCCAAGTACCAAGTCAGGGTAAAATGCATATGTTTGGAGTATAAAATGCTTCCAAACTTCTGTGAGCTGAAATCCTATGGAGACATGATCCAGAATTTACAGCTGACACCCAAAATCTGCCAACAGAAAAACTGTAGCAGCACTATAGGTTTACCAAGCTGTCTAAAGCAATGCCTGAGCCATAGTTTATGCCTCTCTCTATAGCAAAATCAGGTCATCTGGTAACTGCAGGGGTGGATCCACATGCAAGGGAAGGCAGGTTGCACTGGTACAGTTGTACACCCCCTCCCTCCATTGATTCCTGTTCTACCCGAAGTTTAGAACCAACTGCCTGGCCATAGCAGCACTATTTCTATTCAGGCAGCAGTGATTGATTTCATGACTCATTAAAATCTGCCTGATTCTGCCTAAACTCTTAATTCCACAGGTATTAATGATTCTCTCTTTTTTTTAATAGTCTTGATGTTCCACTACTCAAGCAAAGCTTTTTTGTGTAATTCTGCTGTCTGTTAGCTAGCTATCCCACCCTGATAATGTAGCTCCTATTCCACAGCCTCACAGACTCTTTTTAACTCAGTCCAATAAAGTTATATTTATTTTTGCATCAATCTTAAACTGAATAATACAGCCTTAGGCCCCTAGCATATTAGTAAAGTTTCTACTTTCTTTTTACCTGGAGAAAAAGTGTGTTGTGTTATATGTGATGATGTAGCTCACCATCCGCACCCCGTTTTCAAAATCCTAAATCCACCCAGGCATACCTGAGGTGCTTTTTTACTGAAATGCAACAAACAAAGCTATATGTTACAATGCAGAATGCTTTTCATTGCCTCTCACAAATGTCAACAATTTCAGCTACAAATTTACAGAAATGCCTTTGTATTCCATAGACTGGCAAGGGCAGGGGCTACCAGCAGATTGCAGACATTGTGCTACACTTTGGCACAAAAGTTTCTCAGGAAGGTAGGAAAACACAGAACAGACAGCAGACATTGAAGTCAAAAGCACATGGGCTAATTCCTGTAGTTTTCCTTGTAAATATTTCATTTCTTTTCCAAAAAAATAAACAAGCAAATAAAGGGACATAGAGGGGGTTTTTTTTAATAGTACATTTCATTTATAATTGCTTCATTTTTCAAAAACTTCCCATTTTGCAAATCTTTTGTCTTTTTCACTTCACACCATTCTAAAAATGTTTCCAATAAAATCTTGGATTAAAAATAATGTAAAAAATGGTATCAATTCAAAATTAAATGAAATTTAAAAATTAGTCTGCTTCAAGTCTTGCAATAGGGAACAACTTTAATATTTTTGATTTTTTTCATAAGTCTCTTATTACCTTTTAATTTCTACAAACTTGAGGAAATAGGGTTAAGTGGCCAAACAGTAAAGCTCTTACAAAGTTGATGCAAGTGTTGATACAACGGCAGTTTCAGCACCACCTAAATGACTAGCAATGACATGCACAAGCCACAGGCAAAAAGGGAAAGTTGAAAATAAAAGGGAAGGAACTGAAAGACTTTGGAAAAGGGCAGTTTTAAGAAGGAAAAAAACAGCAATGAACGCACGAGAGAAATAGATAAAAGAGAGGGTAGATAGAACAGTTTAACTCGTGAGTTGGACTGAGATTTATAAAGAACATAAGAGGAAAAAAATCACAGCACTGCTAAAATGAAGAAGAAATTAAATAAAAATGAGAAGAGGGAGAAACAGTTAATGAAAGTAAAATAGAGAGAGAACACAGGGAAAATATGAAATGGACAGCAAGATGAAATGCAGCTACGGTGAAGTGCACTATAGCAAGTGGCTTCTCCCAAAGAAGATGAGGTACAGGAATTACTGCAATCTAACGGGTCATTTCATTATCGATTTTCTCTCTGGTGGATAGAGAAAAATAAAAGGAAAATAAAAAAGTTGGAGGCAATGAGACAATAGATCTAATCTCATGAGTTTACTTCTATGACAGATACTAGAAAGAGAACCTCCCAGGCAGAAATTCTGCCATGTCAGCAGTTCCTAAAGGACCTTCTGGGTGCAGTTCAGTCTAACTCACCTCCTTTAT